ATCTTTGAATGGTGAGGGCTGAGCAGATAATTTGTTTTTTTTCCTTTTAAGTTCGTGTCTTTCTAGATCAGAAAAGCCAGACCTAGACCACTCATAATGCGCTGTATTTATATTTGAAACCATTTTCTACCTTGTAAAATATTTTCACAAAGTTTCTTTCACCCTTACAATAACTTTGAAAGGTAAATATTGTTCTAATTTTGCAGATGAGGAAGCTAAGGCTTAAAGAAAGATTAAATCACTTTGCTGGTTCACATAGGAGTAGCAAAATATTGTGTATTATGGTGATTTCTAATAACCAGTCTGATACAAATTTTACACAATGAATAAAATGTAAAATATGCTTGAAGGAGAAAAAACGTGGATAAAAACAAACAAAAGTATAGCCTAAGAGGCTGCCTGGGAGAGCAGCACTGAGAGAGACACTGCATGAGGGAGCTGACGGCCAGGAAGTAACACAGGGAGTGTATTGCTGAGGGAGCACACTGGAGTTGCTTGGGGAATCTTTTGCCAGTGAAGTTTCCTTTGGTGAGCTGATTAAGTGTCTCCCACACATACAATAAGATACAGTTGTTTTATGAGCCTTTGAGTAAGCCTGCTACTCCTGTTATTCTCTCTGGTCGGAGGACGAGGAGATTCCTGCTCACCTTTCTCGGAGAGTTGTAAATGTCCAACAAAACTTAGATGTCTTACTCTGGCTATAACAGGGTAGCTTGTACCCAACTAGCTCTTTCACCAAAAATTATTATAAAAGTGGGACGAAGATATATAAAATAAGTGCTTAGAGGCATGAAGGGCAACCAGCACAAGGCATACCTGAGGAACCACAGTCCGTAGGGATGTAAGATTCGTGACATATTTTCTCCATTTTTTTCTTTGAAGATATTCCCAAATTGGATGTAACAGATCCAAATAGAAATCAGGCTTACTGGGTTAAGGAGAGAGAGAGACTGGAGTTCGTAACTGCCCAACTGTTTGGGATTTAATAGCCAAAATCCCAGAGCAAAGGTAGTCAAAGGGGAGAACCCAAGAATCTGTGTGCTGGGACCATCTGAATCACTGGGAGACTCCTACCCTGTGAATGGACATCTCAAGACCTCAAGAAATGCAAAGAAGACAGTAGCTGGAAGGTTGAGGGTCTGCAAAGACTTCAAAATCCACATGATGCGGACAAGACAGAGATTGGATTTCATGTCCTGCTAAATTGAAAGAGCCCTAATAGGCACCCCAAAGTGTTAATGGAAACTTCAGAAGAACCAAAATCCAGGAGTAAGAACACCTACCTAAGAGAAAAGATCAAATATATGGAGGAAGGACAAAACTTTAAATGGTCCAGATCCAACATCTAAAATCCTTCCTAGACAGATCAAGATAAGTTGCCAGTTCTCTCTCTGCTTGACAAAACAAAGCTTAAACTCTCTTCTCAGAACACTGGTATCTAAAGCCTCTGCAATGTTCCATCTAAAATGACCAGCATGCAGGGGCTGGGGATTTAACTCAGCGGCACAGCACCTGCCTGGCAAGCGCAAGGGCGTGAGTTCGGTTCCCAGTACCAGAGAAAAACCAAAAACAAAATAAAATAAAATAAAATAGCAAGCATGCAATAAAAATTATAAGACATGCTGAAAGAAATGACTAAATAACTGAAAACAAAGAGAAAAATAGAAAAATACTACGGGTGACTCAGTTAATGAAATTGTCAGACAGGGACTTTAGAATAACTATGATTAATATTAAAAATAGAGGAAAATAAGAATGGAATAGTCTTTAGAATTATAGGATAATTTCACCAAAGTCCTAAATCTATTTTTAAAGGCAAGCAGAAAGTACAGAAGTTTAAAAATTATGACAAAATTAATAATTTAGTACATTAATGTGTAGTAGATCATTTAAAATGATTAGTTAAATAGAAGACAGGTTGGTAGCAAATATTCAAAATTAAAAAGGGAAAAAATTACAAAGGGAGAAAATGAAAATATAAATGTTTAAAAGATATATGGAAAACAGAGAAAAAGTCTATCATTCATGAATTAAGGGTCTCAGAAAGAGAAGAGAAAGACAATTTTAAATAAATACTAAGAATTTTCCAGCTGGTGGCACAGCCAGGCATGGTGGTGTATGCCTGCAATCCCAGCATTCTGGAGGCTGAGGCAGGAGGATCGTTATGAGTTTGAGACCAGTCTGGGCTACAAAGTGAGCTCAAGGCCAGCCTGAACTACATGGCAAAACCCTGTCTCAAAAAAAAACTAAAAAAAAAAAATTTCCAAAACTGGTGAAATATACCAAACTGCATATTCAAAAAGCACTACACACCTTAGACAAGATAAACGTTAAGAAAATCACACCTGACGCATCAGAGTTGTATTGCTGAAAGTCAAAAAGGACGGAAAAATCTAAAAAGTAACTTAAAAAAATAAGCCCTTAAAGGAACAACAAGACTGATAAAGTGTAGAAGACAAGTGGGTCATAATTTGAAAGAACTAGAAGAAAAATCCCTGTCAACCAAAAATTTTATTACTGAAAGGGGGAAAATCCAATAAATATCCCACAGGTTCCTTGGAATGACAGGCCTATGAAATTGGTGGGGGTTAGATGCAAGGTAATTGCTGATACTCAACACAGTGCTATGTGAACATAAAATTCAGAAGTGAGAACCACTTACTAGAAGTGATTTATTATGTCTGTGTTAATAATAGAGCCCTAGAATAACTGTCCAATAGAAATATAATATGTACCACAAATGTAAGCCACATACATCATTTAAATTTCTCTGAAACATTTTTTAAAGTAAAAAAAAGTAAAGCTAATTTTAATAATATATTTCATTAACCCAGTATATCCAGAATATTTTCATTTCAGCATAATCTGTATAAAATTTTTGAGATACTTCACAGTTTTTGTGGTAAATCGCTGAAAGCTACATTTCAATTTGTTTTTTTTTGTTTTTTTTTTTTTTTTTT